CTAAAAGAAATCAAAATTTGAAATTGTATGTAATCATTGTTGTCCAAGAGTGCAAGGAAAGGCACCTAATCTTGTGGGGCAATTGGCTTGAAACTAGATTTAAAGGTGCACTTTCACAAGTATGGTACTAATTTAAATCTTTTTATCCCCTAAAATTTGAATTTGTTTTGAAAAAAAGGGGTATAAGTAAGGAAAAACTTGTTAGCTTTGTGTGATATGTGTTTAGTTTCAAATTTGTTATTTATAAATAGTACATGTAATTTCTTTTATTTTTATTTTTTAAAAATTATTGTTATTATATAATATAAGTATAATAAGTATACATCAAATTTTAATTATACAAATATAAGTAATATATCAGTTAAATAAAATAGTTCAACAAGTCGGATAAATAATCTAAACCCTTATACTTATTATTTGATTTGATATTTATAAATATATTATTTTTATACCTATTACTTAATTATTTTACAATTTAAGTAAAATATTTACTTAAATAGATAAAATATTTACAAGTAATATATGTACGCATGGGCGATGATCACCACTACTAGTTATAACAAAATTTAATACCGGTAATTGATGATGCTACCCAAAACGAAAGAGATTTATATCAAATTAAAAACAATAAATACAAATAATAAACATGGGCCTGTTGTAAGTTTGCACTTTGCAGCATTGCAGAGAGCCCGTAAATGTCCGGCCCTCATGATTAGTTTTCTTCCAAGGGCCTTGGCTATAAAATTGGGCAGAGTTTAGCCTGAAGCCCTCCCATCTCCAAGTTGCGGATTAAGTTGGGCTTCTCTAAAAACTTGAACCGACTTTTTCCAGGAAACATAGATAAACGGATATACCAGCTATGCTCCTTTCTTCTACTAAACTTTTCCTCTCTTTCCCCATCACTTTCCTCCCGATCTTCAGTTATACTCACTGTTACATATATATCTATATAGGTATTTTTTAATAATATATTTATTATTTATGTTTTATAATATTCTATAATATATTATATATATATACACATTACTTTTAGGGGATTCATGTGGGTATGGTTTTTAATGCATAAAACATGAAGCAATGTTAGAACATGGAAGAAAGAGAGAAAAAGATAAAGATAGAAAAGAAGTGGTTGAAAACGGTTTTGCTCTATTTGAAAATATCTCAAATTCATCTTTGAATATGAAATGGAGTAATTGTCTCAAATGGTAGAAATGTTTAAAATATTTTCTGATATAAACACCATATATAGAAGAGCCACAATTCTTTGAAGAATTGCATCTATTCTATACTAGTGTAAAAGGCATCTATTAGGGTTTGTACATAAATAAAAACAGCCCCATGAACAGAACAACCTCTGCTTAGAACTTTTAGTTTCTTTATTTTCCTTGAATTTCTGCACTTTGATTTCAAGTTTTAGTATACTGGTTGGGTGATTGAAGTTTATTCAGTGGGCAATATATCCTAAGGATAACGTTTCCTATAGAGAGGTGGAAACTATTATCCTTAAGAAAGGTCCTAGAATTACCTTGCCCACAACAATTGCATCTACAACTTTTTGCATACAACAATTTAAGGATAATGGTCTTTTCAAATGGAGTTTAGAATTGTCAAACCACATATCAATGTTGGAAAATTGGAACACTTCAATGAGCTAAATTACAAGTGGTGGAGCATGAAGATTTATTATTAAATCACCATTTCGAAGGTGGCATATGTCTTGCATGATTGATATCCATAAGATTGCATTGGCATTGGAAATGAAGAATTGATGGAGAAGCAATGCAAGTGGCTTGAAGATGATTATGTTTGTCATCTAACTATTTTGCAGGCCATGACAAATGCTCTCTTCAATGCTTTTCACAAATACTCCATTGCTCTTGAGTTATGAAATGTAGTAGAACAAAGGTATGTGAATGAAGATATAGCAACAAGTCTTTTCTCGTCAACCAATACATTGATTTTAAGATGAGTGATTCCAGCTTGTCATTGATTAAGTCAACGAATTAAATGATATTGCAATAGAGTGTGTTGATGCTGGTGAACCAAGTTTTGAGACCTTTCAAGTGTTTACCATCATTCTTAAATTACCACCTTTGTGGAAGGATTATCAAAAATTCCTTAAACACAAGAAAAGGTCTTTGAAATTGGATGAATTAGTGAAGCATATCCAAATTGAATATGAGGCTATGAAAAGAGATAGTCAAGAAAAGTGTGATAATGTGAATGCTTGGAGGGGCCAACATCTTTTTCCACGAAACTCAATCACAAGTTCAAGAAAGGATAAGAAGGGTCTTTTTCAATGAAAGGAAAAACTGGCAAGCACTTGGCAACTTTCAAAAAGAAGAAAGGATCACGTTTTGTATATGGAAAATTGGGGCATGTTGCTATGCAATCTACCATTGTAAAAACAAGAAAATCTATGAAACAAAGATCATCATAGAGAATGATATAGTGGCTATGCTCACTAAACTAATTGTTATAAATAATGAAGAGGATTTGTGGCTTGATTCAAGAGCAACAGGTCATGTGATAGTGAAACTTTCTTTGACTTTTGGAAAAGTACTCACCTTGAAGATGTGTGTCATATTCTAGGTCTTAGGAAAAGTTTAATTTCAATTAAGAAACTTGATGATCATGGGTTTAAAGTTGTATTTGATTCCAAAAAGTGATCATATCTAAGAAAGTATCCTTTGTTGGGAAAGCTTATGCCAAAGATAATATGTGTGCTATTAATATAAATAAAGATGCATTTAATTCTACTTATATTGTTGATTCTAGTGATATTAATCATCTTTTGCATTTTAGATTAGGACATATAGGTAATAATGCCTTAATGCATATGATTTTTCATGAATATATTCATAAATCTAGTGCTATTATAGTGCCATGTTAATTCTTTCTAATTTCCCATTTTGTTTTTGGGGTGAGGCATTGCTTACTGCATTTTATATTTCCAATAAAATTTTGCATAAAGGTAAGGATATGAAACCATAAGAATTATTAAATGGTAGGAAACCAAACATTGATTATTTTAAAGTTTGGTGTTGCATTGTATATGTTTTAGATGCAACCATCAAAAGGCCTAAACTTGGTAGTAAGGCTATAAAATCAATTTTTATTGGTTATTCCTTACATAGTAAAGCATATAGATTTCTTAATTTGAAGATTGATAGTGCTTTTGGGGTTATTCATGCAATTTATTTTGAGCATTTAATCATTAAAGATGTTGATAGTTTAGAATTAGAAAAAGATTTATCAAATGAAATGGAATTTGATTCTTTTGCACACAATAAACATGTGGAAGACTTTGATGCAACTATTTTGTCTCATTCTATTTGTTTGAATTGTCAAAAGTTGGATGCCAGTCACATGGGTCATTTGCGTGAAAGTGTTTCCAACCAAGAAAGTGAAAACAAAAAGGAGGAAGAACCGAAATTGAGAAGAAGTAAAAGAAGAAGAATAGAAAAGGATCTTTGTCTTGGTATGTTTACCTACTCTTTAGAAGAGGACCCAAGAACTTTTACTAAAGCCATGGCCTTACTAGATGCTTCTTTATGGAAGAAAGCCATGGATGATGAGATAAAATCCATTCATGATAACAATACATGGATTTTAGTTGATCTCCCTCATGATGCTAAACCTATTGGCTACAAGTGGGTCTTGAGAAAGAAATTAAAAATAGATGGAAGCATTGCTAAATACAAAGCAAGACTAGTAACCAAAGGTTTTAGTCAAAAAGAAGGGTTGGGTTACTTTGAGACATTTTCACTAGTGAGTAGATTTACTTCTATTATAATTATGTTTGCCATTGCATCCATTGATAATCTTGAGATACATCAAATGGACATAAAGACTAAATTTTTTAATGGAGAACTTGATGAGGAAATCTACATTTGTCAACTTGAGGGATACATAGTACAAGGTCAAAAGGATAAGGTATGTAAACTTAACAAGTCTCTTAATGGAGTTAAGCAAGCACCTAGGCACTGGTAGAAGAATTTAAAAAGGAGATTAGGAACTTGGTTTTAAATGTAGTAAAGTAGAAAGTTGTGTTTTTACTAAGGTTACTAGTGATTATAAAGTTCTCATTATACTTTATGTTGATGATTTATTAATTTTTGGTTTGACATGCATGGTATTAATGAGACTAAAAATCATTTAACTCAAGCATTTGACATAAAGGATTTAGGTCTAGTTGATGTCATTTTAGGAGTTAAAGTTATTCAAAAGGATGGTAAATATATTTTGACTCAATCACATTTTGTTAAGAAATAATTAAGGAAATTTGGTTATTTTGATTGTAAGCCCAGTAAAGCTCCAATTCATCAACATGTTAAATTAATTCCTAATCAAGGTGAACCTATTAGTCAAAAGAAGTATGCTAAAATTATTAGTAGTTTAATGTATACCATGAATCATACTAGGCCTAATATTGCATGTGTTGTTGGAATTTTGAGTAAATTTACCAGTAATCCCAGTATTGAGCATTGGAATGAGGTTAATAGAGTTATGAAGTATTTGACATATACTTTGCATTTTGGTTTGCATTATAATTACTCTACTTTTGTCTTGGAGTGTTACAGTAATGCTACTT